GGGAAGGCTGGTGTGTGCTGGGGAAGGCTGGTGTGTGTTGGGGAAGTCTGGTGTGTGCTGGGGAAGGCTGGTGTGTGTTGAGGGAGGCTGGTGTGTGTTGGGGGAGGCTGGTGTGTGTTAGGGCAGGCTGGTGTGTGTTAGGGCAGGCTGGTGTGTGCTGGGGCAGTCTGGTGTGTGTTGGGGCAGTCTGGTGTGTGTTGGGGAAGGCTGGTGTGTGTTGGGGAAGGCTGGTGTGTGTTGGGGGAGGCTGGTGTGTGTTGGGGGAGGCTGGTGTGTATTAGGGCAGGCTGGTGTGTGCTGGGGCAGTCTGGTGTGTGTTGGGACAGTCTGGTGTGTGCTGGAGCAGTCTGGCGTGTGCTGAGGGCAGTCTGGTGTGTGCTGGGGCAGTCTGGTGTGTGCTGGGGCAGTCTGGTGTGTGTTGGGACAGTGTGGTGTGTGCTGGAGCAGTCTGGCGTGTGCTGAGGGCAGTCTGGTGTGTGTTGGGGAAGGCTGGTGTGTGTTGGGACAGTCTGGTGTGTGCTGGGCCAGTCTGGTGTGTGAGATGTGGCGCCTGTCCATCCCTCTCCCTACAGGAGTTAAGCACGTGTCCTCGTATGGGTGTGATGATGGAGGCGGATAACACAGCTAACGTTATGACCTGCGATCAAGACTTGTGACGTGAGAAATGGTGCAGGGGTTGGGAGTTAAGGTTACTCCCCCCCCCCTTCCCCTCCAGCAGCTAGGGGGGGGGAGGTGGGGGGAGAAACTGTCCATCTCAGCAACAACAACACACCCTTGGATGGGGTTTGGCAGGTCTTCTCCAATACACCTTGATTTATAATTTAAATCACTGCAGCCTCCTCCTGCTGCCACTCAGGATTGGTAACTCACGCCACCTGCTTGATTTCTGCCACCTCCTGCCTCTCAGCCTTTGTAACTTACTCCTGCTGCTGCCACTCAGCCTTGGTAACTCACGCCACCTGCTTGATTTCTGCCATCTCCTGCCTCTCAGCCTTGGTAACTCACGCCTCCTGCCTCTCAGCCTTGGTAACTCACGCCTCCTGCTTGATTTCTGCCACCTCCTGCCTCTCAGCCTTGGTAACTCACGCCTCCTGCTTGATTCCTGCCATCTCCTGCCTCTCAGTCTTTGTAACTCACTCCTGCTGCTGCTGCTGCCACTCAGCCTTGGTAACTCACGACTGCTTGATTTCTGCCACCTCCTGCCTCTCAGCCTTTGTAACTTACTCTTGCTACTGCCACTCAGCCTTGGTAACTCACGCCTCCTGCTTGATTTCTGCCATCTCCTGCCTCTCAGCCCTTGTAACTCACTCCTGCTGCTGCCACTCAGCCTTGGTAACTCACACACCTCTCCCTCTCCAAATGCTAGCAGTCTGCACATAACTACTCTCCCATTTATAACTAACTACCCAGCCACTCATGACAGCCCAGCCCTCATAACTATCTAGTCACTCATAACTATTCACCCACTCACAACCACCACCTGCCTTCCTCTAAGCTACCAGTACTAGACCTGATGATACAAATCTTAGTGTATGTCTATACAAATCTTAATGTAAAGCTCGAGCTTAGAGAACCATTAAGTTATATACCTTATAGATCTCTCTAAATGGATATAAGTTGGCAGAGGACGCTGCCAAGCCTGAAACCTATACTGAATATAATAATTGATTTAGAGAGGACAGTTTTTGACTTAGAAACGGTATAGGTAAGCAGGGATTTGGCAGTTGATTATAATAAAATATATTATACTATAATATATAATAATATATAGAAGAAGAATACAAAAGTTTTCAGTGAGGATCGTCTTCTCTGAGTACTCTTTATTTTCTTCTCCGAGGCTATGGGTCCCTACACTTACACCAGAGGTGGTGCCCCTTCTAGTTAATAATATATTATTATAATATAATATTTTTAATAGTAACAATATGAGTAATAACAATGAGTGAACGGATGGCTCAGTGTGTGTGTGAGCCAGATAGAACAGAGAGAACACTTGTGTGTAAACAGGACCTTGAACCAGGAGTCATGCCCAACGTGTTTCGTTTGTACACCTGTGACCATTGTTCTTATGCGCGTGTGCGCGTGCATGCATGCGCCGGCGAGTGCGTGCGGGCGCCACCTTCACCACTGCCAGTAACCCCGGCACCAGAGGCCTAGATTCACGAAACAGTTACGCAGGCACTTACGAACCTCCAGGGGCCAGATTGACGAAACAGTTACGCAAGTACTTACTAACCTGTACGTCTTTCCTCAATCTTTGACGGCTTTGGTTACATTTATTAAACAGTTTACAAGCATGAAAACTTGCCAATCAACTGTTGTTATTGTTATAAACAGCCTCCTAGTGCTTCCGAGCTCATTAACTGTTTAATAATTGTAAACAAAGCCGCCAAAGATTGAGAAAAGATGTACAGGTTCGTAAGTGCTTGCGTAACAGCTTCGTGAATCTGGCTTCCTAGACCTTACCTCTCCAACTTGAGGCATATTAGCAAAGGTATCGCTGCCGGGAATTAAGCTATCGCACTCGCCACACACTCCGCCCTCCCGATTGTGGTAGAAGCAGCTGGTGGTGGTGGTGGCTGAGGGTGGCAGCTGGTGGTGGCGGAGGGTGGCAGCTGGTGGTGGCGAGAAGCGGTTCAGGTAAGGTTCGTGGCCACACATAATCCAATGGTGCGAAAGGTGAGCTCCTAAGGGACCACGCCCACACTGATGCAGGGCCACGCCCTCCCAGGCGCCCGCCCCACACTAACCTCTCCCCCCCCCCACCACAGATGCCTGGGCCACACTAACCTATCACTGGTGTGGGGGCCACACTCACCAAACCTCACAGCAGGTTTGTACCAGGCGGGTCCTGTTTAAACCCATCCCATCTCGTCTACTTATTGTTTAATCTATTCTTAAAACCCGTGAAACTCTTAGAGTATCAATAATGGTTGGTGGCAGCCCATTACGCTCACCCTCAACCCTATTTCGAAATAATTCGTGGCCTTTTCATATTGTTAACTGTTGTCTTTGTTTGCCAAGACCAAATTCAGTATAGGAGCCGATATTCAACTATGTTTCTGTGAGTGCTATTACGTCGATATTCAACCATGTTTCTGTGAGTGCTATTACGTCGATATTCAACCATGTTTCTGTGAGTGCTATTACGTCGATATTCAACCATGTTTCTGTGAGTGCTATTACGTCGATATTCAACCATGTTTCTGTGAGTGCTATTACGTCGATATTCAACTATGTTTCTGTGAGTGCTATTACGTCGATATTCAACCATGTTTCTGTGAGTGCTATTTCATCGATATTCAACTATGTTTCTGTGAGTGCTATTACGTCGATATTCAACTATGTTTCTGTGAGTGCTATTACGTCGATATTCAACTATGTTTCTGTGAGTACTATTACGTCGATATTCAACTATGTTTCTGTGAGTGCTATTACGTCGATATTCAACTATGTTTCTGTGAGTGCTATTATGTCGATATTCAACTATGTTTCTGTGAGTGCTATTACGTCGATATTCAACCACGTTTCTGTGAGTGCTATTACGTCAATATTCAACCACGTTTCTGTGAGTGCTATTACGTCAATATTCAACCACGTTTCTGTGAGTGCTATTACGTCAATATTCAACCACGTTTCTGCGAGTGCTATTACGTCAATATTCAACCACGTTTCTGTGAGTGCTATTACGTCGATATTCAACTATGTTTCTGTGAGTGCTATTACGTCGATATTCAACTACGTTTCTGTGAGTGCTATTACGTCGATATTCAACTATGTTTCTGTGAGTGCTATTATGTCGATATTCAACCATGTTTCTGTGAGTGCTATTACGTCAATATTCAACCACGTTTCTGTGAGTGCTATTACGTCAATATTCAACCACGTTTCTGTGAGTGCTATTACGTCAATATTCAACCACGTTTCTGTGAGTGCTATTACGTCAATATTCAACCATGTTTCTGTGAGTGCTATTACGTCAATATTCAACCACGTTTCTGTGAGTGCTATTACGTCGATATTCAACCACGTTTCTGTGAGTGCTATTACGTCGATATTCAACCATGTTTCTGTGAGTGCTATTACGTCGATATTCAACCACGTTTCTGCGAGTGCTATTACGTCGATATTCAACCATGTTTCTGTGAGTGCTATTACGTCGATATTCAACCATGTTTCTGTGAGTGCTATTACGTCGATATTCAACCATGTTTCTGTGAGTGCTATTACGTCGATATTCAACCATGTTTCTGTGAGTGCTATTACGTCAATATTCAACTATGTTTCTGTGAGTGCTATTACGTCGATATTCAACTACGTTTCTGTGAGTGCTATTACGTCGATATTCAACTATGTTTCTGTGAGTGCTATTATGTCGATATTCAACCATGTTTCTGTGAGTGCTATTACGTCAATATTCATCTACGTTTCTGTGAGTGCTATTACGTCGATATTCAACTACGTTTCTGTGAGTGCTATTACGTCGATATTCAACTATGTTTCTGTGAGTGCTATTATGTCGATATTCAACCATGTTTCTGTGAGTGCTATTACGTCAATATTCAACTACGTTTCTGTGAGTGCTATTACGTCAATATTCAACCACGTTTCTGTGAGTGCTATTACGTCTCACTTTTCAGCACTCACCACCAATGCTCTGAGGTCATCAGTATCATTCCTCACCATTTCTGCACTGTCTTAGTATATTCTGTATTGCTTTTAATGGAACTATTTGTTTGTCTGTTTTTACGACTGGTCTTTTTTTTCTTTTTTTTCTACCCTTGTCACTATCTACTGATCATGTTAGCGTTCACTTAACTGGTGCTTCGTCGTTCCCGTTGAGCAAAATTTATATCCCCAGGCTTTTACATGTATTTTTAAATTGTAATTGTAAATTGTAAAATTGCAATTGTAAATTACGCTGTGCATATTGCGAAATCTTCCTGTGACAACTGGGCGTGAACTAGTCTGCTGGAGAAGCAGATCTGGGCGTGAACTAGTCTGCTGGAGAAGCAGATCTGGGCGTGAACCAGTCTGCTGGAGAAGCAGAGCTGGGCGTGAACCAGTCTGCTGGAGAAGCAGAGCTGGGCGTGAACCAGTCTGCTGGAGGAGCAGATCTGGGCGTGAACCAGTCTGCTGGAGAAGCAGATCTGGGCGTAAACCAGTCTGCTGGAGGAGCAGAGCTGGGCGTGAACCAGTCTGCTGGAGGAGCAGAGCTGGGCGTGAACCAGTCTGCTGGAGGAGCAGAGCTGGGCGTGAACCAGTCTGCTGGAGAAGCAGATCTGGGCGTGAACCAGTCTGCTGGAGAAGCAGATCTGGGCGTGAACCAGTCTGCTGGAGAAGCAGATCTGGGCGTGAACCAGTCTGCTGGAGAAGCAGATCTGGGCGTGAACCAGTCTGCTGGAGAAGCAGATCTGGGCGTGAACCAGTCTGCTGGAGAAGCAGAGTTGAGCATGAACCAGTCTGCTGGAGAAGCAGAGTTAAGCATGAACCAGTATGCTGGAGAAGCAGATCTGGGCGTGAACCAGTCTGCTGGAGAAGCAGAGTTGAGCATGAACCAGTCTGCTGGAGAAGCAGAGTTGAGCATGAACCAGTCTGCTGGAGAAGCAGAGTTGAGCATGAACCAGTCTGCTGGAGAAGCAGAGCTGGGCGTGAACCAGTCTGCTGGAGAAGCAGATCTGGGCGTGAACCAGTCTGCTGGAGAAGCAGAGTTGAGCAAGAACCAGTCTGCTGGAGAAGCAGATCTGGGCGTGAACCAGTCTGCTGGAGAAGCAGAGTTGAGCAAGAACCAGTCTGCTGGAGAAGCAAAGTTGAGCATGAACCAGTCTGCTGGAGAAGCAGATCTGGGCGTGAACCAGTCTGCTGGACAAGCAGATCTGAGCGTGAACCAGTCTGCTGGAGAAGCAGATCTGGGCGTGAACCAGTCTGCTGGAGAAGCAGAGTTGAGCATGAACCAGTCTGCTGGAGAAGCAGAGTTGAGCATGAACCAGTCTGCTGGAGAAGCAGAGCTGGGCGTGAACCAGTCTGCTGGAGGAGCAGATCTGGGCGTGAACCAGTCTGCTGGAGAAGCAGACTTGAGCATGAACCAGTCTGCTGGAGAAGCAGAGCTGGGCGTGAACCAGTCTGCTGGAGGAGCAGATCTGGGCGTGAACCAGTCTGCTGGAGAAGCAGATCTGGGCGTGAACCAGTCTGCTGGGCGTGAACCAGTCTGCTGGGCGTGAACCAGTCTGCTGGGCGTGAACCAGTCTGCTGGGCGTGAACCAGTCTGCTGGGCGTGAACCAGTCTGCTGGGCGTGAACCAGTCTGCTGGGCGTGAACCAGTCTGCTGGGCGTGAACCAGTCTGCTGGGCGTGAACCAGTCTGCTGGGCGTGAACCAGTCTGCTGGGCGTGAACCTGGGCTGCAGCATTTCACTGAACAACACCGCCCGAAACCGTTCACTAATTGGTCTTCCCAATTATGGCTGAGGCTGGTTCATTACCAGGGGAGACGCCCCGTACTCTTCAACTCCAGGAAAAAAAGCCCAATAACCTCCACACGACTAATACAAATGTCAACCCCCCCCCCCCCCAACACCTCGACTGACTCGGTCGGTTCCTTATCGTGCCTCTACATAGTGTCTGGATTCTCAGCTGTGGGTAGTTTGGTGGACATTAGACGTTTGTTGATCGTTTGATTCATCATTACCTTCTCAGGCAGTGCTTGTCCAAGCAGTGGTCAAGCCTGAAGACGTATTCATTCAACTTAAGATGCTGTGTACCTATAAATTATATTTACTCATATGTGTATATATGACAGTGTCAGACCACGGAGGACAATTGAAACAGGAATTTCCTTAAGTACTTTCGTATATTAATACATCAGAAGGAGTCCTTCACTCCTTCTGAAGATGTATTAATATACGAAAGTACTTAAGGAAATTCCTGTTTCAATTTTCCTTCGTGGTCTGACACTGTCACATTTTTAATCACGTGTTTATTTTCGTGATATACACACATGTGTATATATATGTGTATATATACACATATGGATAGGGTCGATGTTGTGAACACTGGTATTTACATGAATGCGATCTGAACAGGAAACTGTTCGCGAATTACTGTTCGAACGTCATCAGTTGAGTGCTTTTTAGTCATAGAGAAGGAGGTTTGGCAGGTTGATTAATGAGCATTTGGCCTTTGTTTATGAGGCGAGGCTTGGGATAGGGGCCTGCTGCTGTGGCCCCGCTCACTGTTGTGGCCCGCACAGGAGGTGACCTTAACACCACACACCCAGGTCTTCAAGGTGTCAAGTTCAAGATCAAGACGCTTCACTTACCTTTTTTTTCCCCCCAACAGCAGAATATTTGCGCGCGCACAGACAGACACAGACACAGACACACAGACACACACGCACACACACACAGACACACACACACACACACACACACACACCTGGTGGATAGCGCGCAGGATTCGTAATTCTGTGGCGCGGGTTCGATTCCCGCACGAGGCAGAAACAAATGGGCAAAGTTTCTTTCACCCTAAGTGCCCCTGTTACCTAGCAGTAAATAGGTACCTGGGAGTTAGTCAGCTGTCACGGGCTGCTTCCTGGGGTGTGTGTGTGGTGTGGGGGGAAAAAAAAAAAAAAAAAAAAAAAAAAAAAAAAAGTAGTAGTTAGTAAACACAGTTGAGAGGCGGGCCGACACACCCCCGCAAAAAACACACACACACACACACACACACACACACACACACACACACACACACACCAGGACTGCACAAAGCCGCGTACACTCCTGGTACACCAGGTCGGACGTACAGGTGGAAAACGTGCAATCCTGGTACATCTGAACACAGGTACACCTTTCACAGTGTACGCCACTCTGACACACAGGCGCAGTCCTTACACGTGTGCACGCTGGTACGGCAGCACTGGTGCGTACACGTGCACCCCTGAGAAACACAATACCCCCTGTGAGAGTGCACACAACACAAGGTCCTGCCCAGGCGTACCGTCAATGTACCAGAATGATGTTATTGTCTCAAACCCGGCACACAGGTACATGTGACTTGCGACAGGTGGCCCCCTAGGAGTGGTTCACAGGTGTAGAGAGGCGCAGGCAGGCTCAGCAGGTTCAGCAGGGCTCAGGAAAGCAACTACAGACGCAGCAGGAGCGCCAGGTGTCCCGCAGGACTGCCTCCCTCCCACAGGGGCCACACGACAGTCGAGGAAATTCCTGGGTGTTGGTACCTTTCACTAGGGCCGGGGCGGAGGGTACTCCACCCACCACTCACCGTCACACACGGTACATGTGGTACACACACAAACTGTTCCCCCACCCCCCACACACACACAACACTGCCTTCGTGCACACGTGAGCCATGTGTCTAACAGCTTCTACATGTACTAATCACCTCATAGGAACAAACGTTTCCACTTCGCCGGGAAGTATAAACACAAAACACTAGACACAACTAAATCACTGAGCACACAAGAGGTAATCCAAGCATCACTGTAGGTTCAGTTATCAACACAGGCGCCGGTAGACTGCGCGTAAAGGAGCATACTGCCAGTGTCGGCGCACGCGGTGACAGCCACGGTGCGTCCGGCGTGGGCTCCGGCCAGCGACTGAGTGTTCTTGAGGGGTCGCAAGACTCCAGCGCAAAAGTATACACACGCACACGAACGCGCGCGCGCACACACCACCATCAGATTGTGGTAGGAAGCGGGCGCAGCCTCCCAGGCCAGGTGTGGCCACGTGGGTCGCCCAGCTCACCCACAACAACACCACCACCTGCTCCTCTTAATGTCTTCTGCTCCTGCTGCATCTGTCAATTACTGTCCTTCCGTCTGCTCCCAAGGTCTCCGTCCTATGGACACTTCTCTCTTACTATTCAATTAGTTTAAACTAATTTTATTGTATTTAAATATACCCTATAAAGCGCTTCAGAAAACTACTAACAATTCAGGTCCACAAACAAATATTAGCTATTATTCAATATATGTAATGAACCAACCACAATGCCGGGTAAGCCAGTCATGCAGGATGTATCTTTTGCACGTTGTAAAGGTGACTTAAGAGGTCGTAAGGTCGTTTTGAGCACCCGCGGGGCCAGGGTTCGTGTCCCGGGCCACCCAGCACCCGGGGCCGCCCAGCACCCGGGGCCGCCCAGTACCCGGGGCCGCCCAGTACCCGGGGCCGCCCAGCACCCGGGGCCGCCCGCCACACTAATATCAACCCCACATGGCTGCGTGCATGACTGGTCGCTCACGCACACCAACCCGCACATGGTTACCTTGCGGTGGTTCTGGGGGTCAAGGTCCCCGCGGCCCGGTCCCTGACCAGGTCTCCTAGTTGATGAATTGGTCAACCAGGGTGTTGGATGCGGCGGCTCGCAGCCTGACGTATGAATCACAGGCTGTACCATCCACACGGGTGGAACACAAACAAGGGGACACAGGTGGAAACTGAGTACCCACATGAGCCACAGAGACATTAGAAAGAACTTTCTCAGTGTCAGAGTAGTTAACGGATGGAATGCATTAGGCAGTGATGTGGTGGAGGCTGACTCCATATGTAACAAGAGAGCAGTACATAGTACAACATGAACATCATAACAGCATGAACAGGCCACGTGGAGGATAAACAACCCACAGGCGCCAGACAGGCGGCGGCAGACAATGTAAAAGTTACACCTCTGTACAAGTTAGCCATAGAGTCAGGTCAACGGTCATCGAATCACAAAGAGGTCAGAATTGATGCCGTCATGGTAATCTTCAGGGATTAACCCCTAAACAACAAATGCAAAACCTCATGTTCAGCTGAGGAGCAGCAGATCAGGGGAGTCAGTTGAGTGGGCGCAGCCCAGTAGGAAGGTGGGTGTGGACTCGGGGAAGGAACATCATCTCCCGGAAACTGTGGAACAACATACGAGTAAGTACGGCTCTCTTGTACTAAAGCACCTCATTCAGTACCCTTGGCCTCTAGTAGGGAATATAGTTAGGGAGTGTCTTATTTAATTATTTCTAATAAAGTCAGATATTAAGTGTTATTCAATGTGTATTAATGGTTCCTTGCTTTAGTGATATTGGGCCTACCGTCCCCTTTGCCCTAGTGACCTAGTGCTCTTAATTATTCAGTACTCCTCCCCCGTTCGTCTTCCGTGTTGAGGTGTTAGTATTGGGTGTCTCCCGCCTTATTCTTGTGTACACTATAGTTCCCAAGTGGTCAGGATTATTCGAGTGTCAGGCCAGGATCCTTGTACCGTTCAATTGTTCCCTACACCTGTCCTGGTAGGTTATTCCATCTGCAAGACCTACGACTCTCACTCCGGTCCCCTGTCCGGTAACTCAGGGTGGTGGCAGCGTCACTCGGTAACTCATACGATAGGCTGTGACTACGATTATCTCTATCTTCCTGTCTCACTCTCCCTCGCCCTCACTCGCTCTCGTTCTCCCTCCCTTGCTCTCGTTCTCGCTCCCTCCCTCTCTCTCTCTCTCTCTCTCTCTCTCTGTCTCTCTCTTCTGTTTACTGGTTTACGTCTTCGTATGACGGCCCGAGTGTTAACATCTTACATGATCGATAGCATCTGTTATTACCATAGAAAGAGCGGAGATTGCACGGTTAGCTCAGTGGTAGTAGCGGAGTGCGCGGTCGAGATAGATACAAGGCGAGATATTACAATGTGGGTCATTACACATACACAGTTTCAAATGTAGATATGACTGATCCCAGTAGGCTCAGGAATCTGTACACCAGTTGATTGACAGTTGAGAGGCGGGACCAAAGAGCCAGAGCTCAACCCCCGCAAGCCCAGCTAGGTGAGTACACCTGTATTCCGCTCCTTGTGGAATATATCTTAGAGTTCAGACACATAATGAAATCCCCAAAATAACCTGAATATGTCTATGAGATAATCTCTGGAACAAGACGGGAGGATTGAACCCGTGTCTGGGGGTGACCCAAGACGATGATTCGATCCCAGCGTCGTGCTCCGAAGACCTTCTCAATATACTTTAGCCTTGAACTACTATGTTCAGAAGTACATCACCCTTGCAAGTTGGTCAGTAAGTTAATATTTAGTGTATTTAATGATCTTGCAGAGGTTGAGAGGCCCTAAGCCCAGCACCACATCACTACCACCACACCACCACCACCACACCACCACCACCACACCACTACCACCACCACACCACCACCACCACCACCACCACACCACCACCACCACCCCACCACTACCACCACTCACACCACCACCACCACCACACCACCACCACCACCACCACCACTACCACCACTCACCACCACATCACCATCCACCACCACCACACAACCACCACCACACCACTACCACCACACCACCACAACCCACCACCACACCACTACCACCACACCACCACAACCCACCACCACACCACTACCACCACACCACCACCACACCACTACCACCACACCACCACCACCACCACACCACCAGGTGCTGCATGATGTACTTGAGGTAGGAGCGGAGGAGAGCAGTACACAAGGCTTTTTTGCTTGGTGCGAGTACATGACGGTGGCCAAGACTACAGCTGCTCTACCTTCTTACCCCACACTCGTGCCCACGCTGCCCCCTCCCATGCCCAGGCTGCCCCCTCCCATGCCCAGGCTGCCCCTGCCCGCCACCAGACTATGGGAGCTACGGGTGTACCTCCTTGAAGGACCTGCTTGAGCTTCAAGCAGGTCTGAACTATACCTGGAGAGGGTTCTGGGAGTTCTCCCACTCCCCAAGCCCGGCCCGGGTAACTTGGCCCACCAGGCTGTTGTCTGAAGCATCCTGTAGGCCGGACACTTCATGCAGAGGAGCTCAGTAACAGCCACGTAACTCTTGACACTGTACTCCCAGCAAAGCTTTAAACCTCTACTGAATACACTGTACTCCGGCAACACCTAAACTGAATACCATCATTAATAAGCGAATGTTCTTCCTTGTCATAATAAAACCAGTTCAAAACATGAAGAGATACGTCCGTATGCTGACAGTATACAGGAGTGTGTGTGTGTGTGTGTGTGTGTGTGTGTGTGTGTGTGTGTGTGTGTGTGTGTGTGTGGTGTGTGTGTGTGTGTGTGTGTGTGTGTGTGTGTGTGTGTGTGTGTGTGTGTGTGTGTGTGTGTGTGTGTGTGTGTGTGTGTGTGTGTGTGTGTGTGTGTATATATATATATATATATATATATATATATATATATATATATATATATATATATATATATATATATATATATATATATATAACTGACGTGACCACCCCACACCTGGCGTGCCCACGCCAGGTGTGGGGTGGTCACGCCACACACAAGATCCTCCCCCACACACACAAGATCCTTCCCCACATACACAAGATCCTAACCCACACACACACAAGATCCTCCCCACGCACACAAGATCCTCCCCCACACACAAGATCCTCCCCCACACACAAGATCCTCCCCCACACACACAAGATCCTCCCCCACACACACAAGATCCTCCCCCACACACACAAGATCCTCCCCCACACACACAAGATCCTCCCCCACACACACAAGATCCTCCCCCACACACACAAGATCCTCCCCCACTCACACAAGATCCTCCCCCACACACAAGATCCTCCCCCACACACACAAGATCCTCCCCCACACACATAGTAATCAGGCCGCCACCAGAGGGCACCACCGCCCTATTTCCATAGGAAGCCTCTAATCACGACGGTACATGCGTCATGTTGGTTGAAGCGGCCTGGCGTAGCGGGAAACGCAGGGGGCGGGGAAGCTGGGGGTGCTGGGGGCTGGGGAGGTAAACGTGGGGGGGTAGGGGAGGGAAACACACACACACACACACAGATGGCTTCAACAAGAGCCTGAGAGCTGGGGAACACAGCTGTGTGTATTACGATAGTTTGTTGGTGGTAGTAATGACAGCAGTGTTGTATGAGCGCCCCCCCCTGTGTCTGTCTGTCTGTCTGTCTGTCTGTCTGTCTGTCTGTCTGTCTGTCTGTCTGTCTCTCTCTCTCTCTCTCTCTCTCTCTCTCTCTCTCTCCTCTCTCTCTCTCTCTCTCTCTCTCTCTCTCTCTCTCTCTCTCTCTCTCTCTCTCTCTCTCACCAACACTTTCCCAGAGAGAGAGTTTGAGAGCTCAACACGCATTCCACACCAGAAGTGCATTCCCCGCTGCCCACTGCACCCCCACTCCTCCCCTCCCCCCCCCCACTAGCACACGCACTCTACCCGCACTATGAGAGCTGTCATCACCTCTCCTCCCCCACTCTACAGTGAAGGTCACACAGTTCCTCCACCATCCCCAACACTCCCAAACAAATGAAATGGTTTGAAAAACAAATGTTTGTAAAAACCGAAGAAGCAGAAGACTGCAGATAATTACGGATAGGATCTTCACAAACTACAGGAGTGGACAGACAAATGTACACCTGTTGATTGACGGTTGAGGGGCGGGACCAAAGAGCCAGAGCTCAACCTCCGCAAGCACAACTAGATGAGTACAGATCACTCACCCCCCTCCCACACCTCGCTTCCCACCCCTATCTTGAGGTTATTTTGAGATGATTT